TGTATGGCTTTTAATAATTGGTTCTCGCTTAAACCTACGTAAATTTAGCTATCAGCATCGGCCAACAATTTATAACAAGAAAACTAAAACAAAATCAACAAAATAGTTGGCATCCACTTTCATGGCTGTATTTCAAAAAATAATTTTTTTGACCTAGTTACGATTATTAATTTTATAGAGAATCTTTTTAACCCTTAATAAAATATGTTTATGGCTTACTTGTATAAACATAAGTTTCAGCTTTTATACGAATTTCAAGGAAAACTAGTTAATTGTTATTGAGTCAGTTCCGTTTACTTTACCTTATTAGTTAAAAGCTTATTTTAAATTTAAAGAAACTGATGCCTTGCAAATTGAGGAATAAACCATTTTTTAAAATGTCATGAAGTTAATCATAATAATTGCTGTCGCATTTTGGCTACATTACTTTTATAAAAAGATAGTTACACTTTTTCTACAATATAATTAAAAAATAAGTGTAAACTCATTGTGATTGTTGAAGTATATGGTATAAAAATCAAAAACAGTAATATTATGCGAAATAAATTTATTGTACATTCTAAAGGAGGTGAAATAAAGCGGTAGAACAAACATAAAAACAACAAAAAAAACGAAAAAAGAAATAGAAAGAAACTAAAAAATATTTACAGTGGCGTGCAAAAGTCTCCGAAAAGGACACATTACTAACTTTTTTCAGAATTTGGATGCTTATAGACATAACTTTAAAATCTTTTTAATGATGTATATCGAAACTGTGCTGAATTAAAAGGCAAATAGTTTTCATTGCATTTTTTTATTGTAATAAAATAAAAATGATAATATAGTGGTCGAAGATTTTCGCACGCCACTGCATATATAAAGACACTACACTGTAAAAAATAACTGTACGTTCTTCAGGAGAAAAACATATTTTTCACAGAAAAAATTAAAGAAAAATACTGATCTTTTTTGTTTTTATCCTAATCCCGGCACTGTGAAAAAATTCTCATTCTTCTTACAGATTTTCTCTGCAAATTTGACGGTTTAAAACTGTTTTGTTGACCAAATGATTTTTCTCTGTTTTTCATCTTAAATATTAACTTATTTGAATCGTCAGTTTAAATTCTAGTTTCTTCCATGTAGTTTTGCTTACCATTCGAAAACTTTTTTTAAAAAAATAATTTTACGATTGTTTTTAATACTTGCTCTTTTTTTTAGTGATTATTTTATGGTTTTGAACATCGCATAAATAAAATTGTTACTCAATTTTATTATCAAATTGATACTTCACCTGATTAATATCTTTCTTTCGTTATAATTTTTTTGGAAAATCAAATTGCCAAATGTTTTTATGCGTATGAGCCACCACAATTATGGATGTTTTTACACTGAAATATTACTTCAATAAATAATATTTTAATGATAAAGCAGTTTAAGATTTTTCTTTATTCTAAGATATTAGAGATGCGTCAGCTCTGAGGACAGAGCGCTTGCCTCCCGGTCCCAGGTTCAAATCCCAGCGTCGACTGGTACTACAAATACTGATCTCGGCTGACATCGACCACATAATAACATAGTTGTTTTACACATTTCTTTAATTTAAAATAACATATTTTGCTTGTTAAAATAACGAAGTTTGTTTTTTTGCAATTACAGTACTTATCTACTTGAAAAACAGACGTCTGTTTGCAAATAGCAGTATTTTTCTGTGAAATAAACGGTTTTATACTGGCACAACAGCTGAGAGATTTTTTTTCGTAAATTTAACGGAATTTTGTTTTACTATGTAGAGAATCCAGAAGTCGTCAGACTTCATTTGTCTAATGAGAATAAACCCCCTAAAGGATATTTCAAATGTTTACTTTAATTCAATTCCATGTTTACTATGTTCAATTTCTCTATAATTTAAATATTAAACACAAATTACTGTACGTTCAAAAAACACATAGAATTTAAATGTAAATACAGAAACTATTAAATTAATTCAATTCGATACATTTGATTCAAATGTTAAATTAAATGCAAATCAGAAAATTTTCTCCGATTTAAATGTGAACTGCAAAAATTACATTTATTGTAGCTTTTTGAAATGTAATGCATAACATTTTAGTTAAACAAAAACAAGCTTCTTGAAAGATTATTTACGTCCAAAAGCTTCTCGGATAAACTTATTTACCTTGCAAGACTGCCTAATGACGCTCGAGAGTTAATTCTAAATGCTTATTTATTTGCCACCTTCCGTAACCAGGATGCACTTCGTAGGCCTGCATAACCTGGGTTTTAGTAATTGAAGTACCGTGATAGATATACCGTGTTTCTGACTGTATGGGAACACCAAAAAATACTGTAATTTATACCGAAGTGCTTTGGAAATGATTTTAATAAAATCATTAATGAAATGCGATTTTATAATATGTGATAAAATTTGGTAATTTTATCACGATGCCTTAAACTGTGGGATGAAAACTATTTATTCGGTTAAATTTACTTTTTAGTTTGATACTTTTTACTAAATGTGTGGTAATAAAAACCATAATTTTGAAAACCAAAATGTTCGGTAAATCGTTACCATATAAACAGAAAAATTACCCAATGATGATTTTAATACAGTATATTTTGATTTTTATGACCAGAATTATATATATATATATATATTTTGTT